TGGCAGTGATTTCCATTACTTGGTCTTCCAGCTCAGTTATCTGTTTTCCTGCCTCATTTAGTCTACAGTTGTCTATTTCTGTGTATTTCTCATTTCAGCTATTATATTCTTCAATTCTGTTTAGTTGTTTGTTTTATTTTCTAACTCGTTGATAAAAACTTCTTATACTTTATTTTTCTGTGCATCCATTCTCGTCCTGAGTTCTTTAATCATCTTTACAGTCATTACTCTGAACACTTTCTTGTAGAGTCTCCACCTCCTTGTCACTTAATGCTTCTAGAGTTTTCTCTGTCACTTCATTTAATTTAAATTGATATTTATATTTTTATGCACATGACATGTTAGTTATGGTTCTCAGCTTTGAAGCAATAACCTTCTGTAGGAGACACCCTGTATGTCTCAGCAATACTTTCCCCTCTCATCATCCAAGGACCAGGGTCTAGCTGGTCAGAGTAGGGCCTGGCCAGTGTTGCAGACTTGGTCTGCAGGCTCTGGGACTCTAGTTTTCTTTCTCTGGTGTTTGCCCCTGGTAGTGAGACTGGTCTGGAGGCTTGTGCAGTCTTCAAGGTTGGGGGCGGGTGGGCGGAGCAGGGGCCTGGCCACTGATGGGTGAAGCTGCATCTTGGCTCTCTGGTAGGCAGGGCAGTTACTAAGCACATGTCTAGAGGCAGCTGTGGACCCAGGAAACTTTAGGCAGACTGTCTGCTGATGTCTGGGGCATATCCCTGAAAAGTTTGTTGTTTGAATGGAGGCCTACCAGCTTTGAGGTTTAAAGCATGTTGGGTAGGTTCAAGTGTTGATGCCAAGATGTCAGTCCCCAGGGGACTGACATTCATGCAGATGAATGCTTTTGATCTGTTGGACACCAGTGTCTATGTCCCCAGGGTGAGCCACAACCATATACCCCTACCTTGCCAGGAGGCCCTCCTCGACCAGCAGGCAGGTCTGTCTCAGGCTCCTATCAAATTACTGCTTGTGCCCTTGGTCCCAGAGTACATGAGATTCTGTGGATGTACTTCAAAAGTGAAGTCTCTATTTTCCCCGATCTTTTTCCCTGCAATCAAGTGCTGCAGGCCTTCAAAGCCCAGAGCTCTAGGGCGTTTCATTTCCTATGCCTAACACCCAGTCAGGCTGGCCTGTCGTGGGGCTAAGTACTTTCAGAATATCTGTAATGTAATTATTCTCCAGGTTATGGGTCACCCACTGAGAGGGTATGGGATTTGGGTATATCATGAATTCACCCCTTCTATGTCTCTCGCTGTGGTTCCTTACATCCCTAGTTGTAGAAGGTCTTCTCTGGTAGACCCCAGTCTTTTTCCTCTATGGCTTTCTGAAGTTAGCTGTGATTTTGGTGCGCTTGTGAGGGGAGCTAAGTCTGGGGACCTTCTACTCCATCATCTTGGCCAGTCTTCTTCTTCTTGCTCATCTGCTTCTCTATATGATTCCCATACTAAACACCCCTAAAAACCCTCCCCAGAAAATTTCTCTTTATAAGTTACCATCTTATTTTTGAAGGTTTTCTTTCTTTCAAAAATAAAGTTATAATACTCTTTCAAAAAGAATGTTCAACAATTTATAAACAGGTATAGTTTTCTCTCAGTAATTTATTCTAAATATTTTAAAAATAGCCTTTGAATTGAAGACAGAGATTCCTAAACTTTTACCCATATGATTCACAGCATAAGCTAAATCCATAGGTAGTATTTCTTTTTTTTTTTTTTTTTCACTTTTTGGAGTTGATGGACTGTGGTCGAAGGATAGTTATTCCTAGAGTAAGAAAATGCGATACGGTTGCCAATGAGAAGTGTAAAAAGCTGTGCAGTTTATTCCAGGACAGCTCTATTACAAGCAGTTATGCTCCAAGCTTTAGTAACATTTGGCTGAAAACAGGCACCATGGGAAGACAAAGGATTTTCAGATGGAGAATGGCAGTTACATTTTAGCATCACAGAGTAAGGACAGTTGTTGACCTTTGTGGGTACCTGCCCCTGTGGCATAAACTTGCATGTGATTCCCATGAAAGGATATCCCCCCACTCACCTTAAGCTGCGTAAATCAGAAACACACTGACCAGACAGATGAGGATGAGGGCAAAATGGTTGTTTCCTTTAATCAAATTTCTGATTACCACTGGCTTATAGAAGCATGCCTTTAGATAATATGTTCAGAGTTGAACAGAAAATTTGTATTTGATTGGAACTAATCTGGATTAATCTACCTGGATAGGTGGCTGTTTTTCACCTTGGGGTGACTACGCATGCCAGGAGGGAGCCATAGTTTGGGGGTCCTTTGCTGGGAAAAGATGGTCCTTCTCTGATCTACTTGCACATCCTTTAAGAAATATCTTCCTTTAGAAAACAAAAATGTGATTTTGATATAATAATTCCCAGAAATTCTGGGACTAATTCTAGCCAAGATGAAGATAGGGATCTTCCCTTTTGGTGCTTCTCCAAGAGCATTTAATTCTCGAAATAATTATTTTATATGCTTTTCTCTTTAAAAATATATTTCTGTCATTCATGTAAGTTAGGATATCAGTAGTTCCTCGAATATTTTCAGAATCATTGTGCAGAAAATGATGGCATAGTGCAGCTTAATTATAGAATTATATAAAAGAATGTATTAGACCCTGGTTAAAAGTTCTAAAAATGGGAAACATTAAAGTTTCCCATTTTCAGGATGCATAAAAATTCCCTTTCCCAGAAGTTCTATTGATAATTAATTTCCCTCTAGCCTTCAACAGGGAAATAGATTTAAGTTAATTAAAACTTTAAAAGCTTGTTAATTTCTGGAGTGTATGCTCACTGTTTATGGAACAAAAGGTGCAAACTCCACTTTGCTGAAATGGCTTTGTTTGTATTATGCATCTTCCTGGTTCATTAACCCCATTTTATGTGTCAGCATTACACTTCCTTTCTTGCTCATATATGCCTGCCGTCTCAGTGGTCAGAGTTAAGAGAATGAAGGGCAGTGGGCCAAACTTTAGAAAATGACTTCATTTTCTATTTACCCAATTCTTCTAAAGCTGCATCCAGGTGGTCATTAATAACAACAGCACTACTTCCTTAATAGAAGTAGATTAGGTGAATCAGAAGCAAATTTCCCTCACAGTCCAGCTGTAGATTTTTCTTGGAATCTACCAGCTTTGGCATTTTTTTTAAGCGTTCTTCTGGTTGGCTGGTCACAGAACATTGAAATCATAAAAATCTGAAGCTATCTAATATTAAAAGAATATTGACTACTTAAGAAAATCTATGGCCAGAAGGCCATATTAGTAACATTCCAGTTGCTTTTTAGTCATAGAAAATGGCATCATTTTACCTCTTGGATGTTATGTTTTGGAAAAAAGCTAATAATTTTATTAAGACTCAGATTCAAATTGGGAAAAATACATTTTTTTTTCCATCTCAAATATGTGAGTCATTTTTAGGCAAATGTTCTGTCTCTGTAAACATCAGACTTACTCCATGAATGATAATGATGCTAATATGTATGAAACACTCATTATGTGTCAAGAATAAGGTTAAGTGCTTATGTGGATTATGTCATTAAACTGTTCTACACGGCTAATAAGTCAGGCATTGTTACATGTAAGGAAAATTAGACTCGGAGAACTTGAGTGACTTATCCAAAGTCACATGGCTAGCAAGTGTCAGAGACAGAATTCAAACTCACAAAACTGATGTCAGATGGCACACAACCAGTCTCTTATACCATAATCCTTCTCAGTGTCTTAATAGGAAAAAAAAAAAACCCAAAAACTCTTCTATTGGAGAAAAACAAACCAGAAAATAGCAATTCTCTCTGTTTCTCTGTCTCTGCTAGTTATTTTGGGGTATAAACACAACCCCAAATTGCTAATTATGTACATGCAGAATCAGCTGGTAATCATCTTTATTTTTACTATAAGAAAGAGGTTTGTGTTGAGGTTTGTGTTGATTAAGGACTAGCTTATTTTGTTATCTGAGAAATTTAATTGCATATGCCACTTAAACTGTAGACAGTATGTTAAGGAGAAATATTTACTATACTTTGCAAGACATCCACTTTCCAAAAAAAAACTGAAAGAGATAAATATATATCCAGGTACAATTTCCAACAATATAGCTATATGTTGTTTATGAAGTGATGAAAATCAAATACCATTGGAAATAGTCATCCCACTGAGGAAAACTCACCTTTAGAATGGAAGAATTTGTGTACTGCTAATGCTGATTTAAGACTTACAAACATGAAAAGGAATCCCCATAGTGTCTGATCTAATCTTGACACGAACAGTATCCAAAAGATCTATTGTCAGTCACAGCTCAAAGCTGCTGCCTTGGGAAGAAAAAATGCTTTGATAACTCATTGTGTCAAAGAAAAGGATTTCACTGTGTGAAATATTGATTAAAACTTTAAAATAAAATTGGTATTTTCTGAAAGAACCTTGTAAAGGTAACAAAGAAAATAACAAAGAAAATCCAAAGGGTGCTTTTAAGATTGTTTTCAGAAGGGTTGATCTTTAAAGAAAATCTTGTAGAAAAGAATGTACATTACCTTTTAATATCTACATCAATATAATTTTTCCACTAACAATGACAATATGCTTTCTTCACATTGCTATTATTACTTTTTATTTTAAGGTCAAAGGACATACACTGTGCTTTTTAGTTGATAAAATAAATGCATTCCAGCCATAGGCTTTAGAAAATTATTTCTCAAAGTACAAGCAAGTCAAGGAAAAGTCAATAGTGCAAACAGATATTTTGCTGTCAAAGAAGAGTTAGGAGTCTATTTAGGCTTTCCAATTGTGTAACATATTTATAAAATATTGTGATGCTATCACAACAATTCTAGGGGGAGCTTCTATTCGATTAGGGGATAGGAAATATGATGTCACTAAAGACAATAATTGCTAACAAACTGGGACAATAAGGGCCTGATGATGACTACACAATTTAAGGGGATATTGAGAAAGGTTAAAGTCACCCTTGATAAACTTTATCATTTCAGGGAAGATGAGGGTGGAGTGGAAATAAGACAAGAAATTGAACTGAAAGGAAGAAGTTGAATCTCAGCTAAATTACTGTAAGCTCTTCAGAGTGAGGTCAGAGCAAAGACTTGTGGGTCAGGCTTCTTTGTATGTCTCCTTCCAATGACTTTTCATTCAGTCCATCCACACTTACCAGGCACCCACTCTGACGACTGATCCAAAAAGGTAAGTTAAAAAGCAAGGCTTCTATTTTTTGATAGATTTCTGATGAAGCATTAGAGTGCATAAAGGTTGTCTAAAGATACCGTGGTGTTTGGAGAGGAAATGTGATAAGATGAGGCAAATTATATTGGTACAGTGCCTGGAAAATAGTAAATCATCCGGAAATATCCACTGACACCTTATCAGGACCGCTGGGGGTACTGAAACATGGGTCAGGGCCCAGTTACTTCTCAGATATTTACTGGAGTGTGTGACTGGGTGTGGGGCCTGCTTCTGCTTGGGGAAAGGAGAAAGTGAGGTGCAGACTGCAGCCCTCATGTGAGAAGTACGCCAAAGACAGTTTAGCTGTTGCAGTGTGGATCACATGACTTCTGGGAAGGGAGGTGCTTCTCAGGCATTCTCAGATGCGGCACAGGGGAGATGAGGAGGAAGGGAGGAAGACACCACATGGCGTACTCTGGAGGGGGAAACAAATACTCTCAGAATACTCATCTTTTATTGACTTGGCCTTTCAGACTATTTGTCCTTCACATCATTTGATATTGCATAGCCAGACAAATTCAATTATTTCCCTAACGCCGCGCTCTGTGACTAATACTTATGCCTTTGGGGTTCGGTCAGAAACATTAGACCTGTATGATGTGTAATACAACGTGGAGCATATTTACGAGCTGTGACCTTTTATCATACATGGCGTCAGTAAACAATTTAAACACGAACACCCTGGGAGAAGGTCAGGTTAAGGATAAAAAGCTGGTCTCAAAAGAAAGGTCTTTGAGTGGTATTTAATTGAATTGGCTGCTTTACCTCAAAAATTATGGAAAATTTACCCTTTTCCCACAGGCCAGTGTACGTCTGCTCTTTGCAGTCCATGAATGTAGCTGTAGTACAGATGTGTTTAGCTGTCCCTCGAAAACCAAGGTGTTTGATCATGTTGCTAGATGACGGTGACACTTTCTGATGTAGTAGAAAGAATATCTTTTGGGTTAAGATAATTAAGAGTGGGTAATATATATAAATGTATATTATTAATATTTCAACCTCTAACTTTCCTTATTTTCACCATTTCTTAGACTGTATTACTGGTACAACTAAATTATCTGTAGACTTAATTGTCCCCTGCACCTTACTTTTTCTACCCGGAGCTGTCCACACTGGAAATGTAGGTGTTCACCACCAGCTATGTGTATTTCACATCAGTTTGACATTTTGCCCAGTTGACCCAGTAAGTTATAAACTTAAATGCTTAAAGCAGCCAGGCAAACAAAGTGAATACTTTAAGCAGGTGTTAGCTGCATACTGTAGGTATTGAAATATATTTCAGGGACCCATGTAATACAACATGGAATTAATATCATTTTGCAAATTGCAACCTATAATTTTTTGACAGTTAAGGTCTCGCTTAGAGCAGTTGATTTGCTTAGATTTGAATGAGAAACACTTAAGCCTGGACGTTTCAACCATGTCAGAATTCTCTGAAACCACTCTCCTGATGGAACTGTAGCCTGGACCCAAGGGAAACTTATTTACCTGGCCCAACATATTGAAGATCTATGGTTATGGGGCTGAATTTCGACCTCATTTGATTCTTGGAATGTTGCTTATCAGAAATGGGCTCTGTGTCCTCTTTAAGCTGAAGGAGTCTGACTCTGGTGGATCTGCATTAATACTTCAAAACATCATGTCTTTGCCTCATAAGTTCACCATTTTCATATGGCTGTAATGTGGAGGCTGCAATATGCTGAGATTAGATGAACGACACACTGCGGCCTCCACATTAAAGACATATGAAAAAGGTGAAAGTGTGAGACCCACAGAAGTTCTTCAGATGCACGTCACCGTGCTGAGTCAGAGGCGGTCTCAGTGAGCCACCTTTAAGGGTCCTGATGCTGCTTACTGCTCACTAGATCACCCTTGACCTCATGGATTTTTTTTTCTACTTTAATATTCTATTTAATCCTGTTTTCCCAGAAGAAAAAAAAAATTGAAGGACTATAAATTTTGTTATTACATATTCTGGGCAGTTGTAATAAACAGATAAATAAAATACCAAGAAATAAATACATACTACAAGCAGTCATAATAATCTTGAAACATATTTCAGGTAAATATCAAGCACATATTTTATTCAGTTCAAATTTTCAATGATAAATGTAGAGTCACAAATCATTTCTTTGTAGAGAAAAAAACTTGTGAGACATTTTAGCAGGTGTTTAACTTACTGTAGTGTCATGAGGCTTAACTCCTGCTCAGTTACAATGCATGTGTGTGTGTTTTAATTTTTATTTATTTGACTGGGTCTTAGTTGTGGCATGTGGGATCTAGTTCTCTGACCAGGGATCAAACCTTTGCCCGCTGCATTGGGATTGTGGAATTTTAACCACTGGAGCACCAGGAGAATTCCAGCAGCATGTTAAAGAGAAGTCCCTACACTGCGTTAAAGAGAAGTCACTGGCCCCAAAACAATGCCTCTGTCCCCAACTTCCGAGGGTCCTGCAGTGGCACCCTGAACACCAAGGTTTCATGATGGTGCCCAGCAGAATCTCCTTCAAGTAAATCATTTTTGCAGAGCCTAGGGATTTACCAGCAATTTGATTTTAAAGTGCATGACAGAATTTACAGAACCTTTGGAAATATAATGATATATTGATGAAGTTTTAGAACAGTAGACAGGGAAGTGACAGATATTTATTTTCTGTTCAACCAGTGCATTTGAAGTACTTTTATGCTTTATGTATGGTGAATGAAACTCACCCTAAACCAGCATGTCAGCATCAGTTTGGTGCCTTGATCTCAAGCAATTCAGTAAGTGAACAATTGCTCTAGAGAGGAAGAGTGGTCTTATTCCAGGGGACCTTGTGGAACCCCAGGCTAGCCAAGGAGTGATATGACCTCATTTGCGCCCATCCTGGGACTTGTGGGACATGTGTTTAACCCCACCGACCTGATAGGAGCATAGAGGGCCAGAAGGCACATGGAAAGGAGGAAGTAAGTCCAGCATCTTCCCTCTTCCCAGTTCAGGCTCAGGGTACTCACCTCAACAGTAGAAGAGCATCACTGCTCACCTTCTCCCTCAACTTCCCTTCACCTCCTCCACCATGTCTCAGCACTGGGAGACTGCGGAAGTTTCCAGAAATGCACCCCAAAAGCCATAGTAGAGGCTCTGTTTGTCCTGGTCTAAGTGTTATATGGGTCTCCAAAGACGAAAGTCTAATTCAAATTGTCTCTGTCCTATATTTTTTTCTTTTGTTGTTTATTTGTTCTGTTCAAGTGTAGTTGATTTACAGTGCTGTGTTCGTTTCTGGTGTATACAGTGGTGACATACAGTAGGTCTTTGCTGTTTATCTATTTTATATACAGTAGGGTGTATCTGTCAATCCCAAACACCTAATTTATCCCTACCTCCCTCATCTTTCCCCTCAGGTAGCCATAAGTCTGTTTATTCAGTACTGGTCCCTGGTCACCCCGTAGAGCCTAAAAGCACATCTGCTTGGGTAAAGCTAAAGTGGTAGAAGAACCAGGCATCACTGTGTGTTTCACCAGCGGCCTCCTCCTAACTGATTTCTGTGCCCACCTCCCCCTTCCCAGCATCAGGGACTGTCCTCCTCAGTCTAGGTTCATCTGTAGACTGCGTCTGAGTTGCTCCTGATCACCACAACAACTCACCCTGACATCATCCTGAGTTTCCTCCCCACACTCTGGCGCTGGCAAGAGTCTCACATTCCAAAGTGTTGGCTGTCTTCCTCCGCTCTCCAAATATTATGAGAATTGTCCTTTTCCTATGTCTGTTCACGACGGTTAAGAATCTAAGTTATACTGCATCTTTCTGACTTGTGTCAGCTTAGGGAGGTTGGGTGATTTAATGAGATAAGCTAAGATTTTAGGCTTAGGTAGACTTGGTTTCAAGTGCCTGTTTCCTGTGTGATGTTGATCAACTCACTGAACCTCGGTTTGCTTATCAGTAATACGAGGAGAACACACATATTTAAGTGATTAAATTGACTAGCTTAGCGTCAGCATGTGGCTGTTTATTTTTGAGGTTAATATTCATCAGTAATATGAGAGTCAGTATGAAAGCAGCTCTTTTGGAATCTGATAACAGAAGACTAAGCTCCTGTGAGAACCGGTGGTTGTGTAAGAGGTTGCTTTTTGAGAGGAAGTAGAGAAGACGAAATTGTCTGTTTGCAGGTTAGTGGCACATTTTCCACTATACCCCTCCCTTCACTTCCCTTGAACACTAGAAGTAAAGTTGCTTTGAATCAAACAGTCTGGGCAGACTAGGCTTTAAAAGAATTTCAGCTGTTAATAGGAAGTCCTCCAGCTCCACCATAGGCATTCCACTGACCGCCTTGATGTCTGAAAAAATCCCACCTGTGGGGTTACTATTTTGAGTAAATTGTGGTAGGCGCCAGCTTTCAACCCAGACATGCTGTGGAGGTGATAAAATGTTAAGCTATGATCATGACATGTCTTTTCGATGGATCAGCTGTTACAGAGCATAAGGCAAAGCCTCTGGGTTTCCCTGGTGGCTCAGCTGGTAAAGAATCTCCCTGCAGTGCCGGAGACCCGGATTCGATCCCTGGGTTGAGAAGATCCCCTGGAGAAGAGAATGGCAACCCACTCCAGTATTCTGGCCTGGAGAATCCCATGGACAGAGGAGCCTGACTGGCTAGAGTCCATGGGGTTACAGAGTAGGACAGGACTGAGTGACTAACACTTTTACTTTCACACTGTGATGAGGGATAAAGGATGTTTGCACACTCAGCTCTTGCTGCCCAAGAAAGCAAAACCCAGCAGAAGAGTTTGCATAAACTGTAATTTGGAGACCTTCTCATGACCAGTGATCAGGAAGGACAGGGTCAAACTAGTGGACAAAAGACCTTCCTTTAGGTCTTGATAGTAAATAATAGAAGCCTCTTCCAGGATATTTCTCCTCCTGGAGTTTTTTTTTAAACTATGTGTTTTAAATAACTAGAAAGAAAATTTTATTGATGGTAAGGTATTCAATAGGCTTCAATCACCTGGAGAAGGAAACACCAGCCCACTCCAGTATTTTTGCTTGAGAATCCCCATGGACAGAGGAGCCTGGCAGGTTACAATCTATGGGGTTGCCGAGTAGGACTGAATTTAGTGACTGAATAACCATGACAAAAATGTATTCAATAAAGTAGATGTAAAAATACACACCTTTTCTAATATTTTTGAGCACAGCTCTATGTCTATTTCTCTGTTATGCGGTGGTACTTCAGTGATTAAAGAATTCATGTTTTCTAGCCCAAGAGCACAACACTCCAGTGGAAGAAGCCAACACACACAAGACAAACTAAATTGCAGGTGAATGTCTGTCTCTTCAAGACCCCAGTCAAATGTCTCACCTGTCAAGTCTTAACTGACTCAAATTCAAGGTAATTTAATCACTTAGCTGTCTAAACTCTATCTCTTGCACAGGCCTTCATCCTTGTACTTAAGACACAATGTTGCAATCAGTATGTTTATGTGGGTATCTTTCTAACTAGGCTGTAACTTCTTTAAAACAAAGGTTAGCTTTTGTTCAAATCTGTACCTTCAGTACCAAGCACAGAGTGTGCTTTGTAATGGGCACTCAGATGTTTTCTGAATGAATATCTTAATCATGTTGTGAACTGTCTTTGAAGAGAGCATAAAGAGGCAGAGCACTTACTCTAGCTGAGAGGAAAGCCTCACTGAGGAAATGACCTTCACTTGGGTTTTGAAGGATGAGATAAATTATGCTGGTATATACTCAGACAAAGCTCAACAGATTTCTAAGCTGATTCTAAATGCATTCAACTAACTTGCTTAGCGTGTCCAAACACAGCCTAAGGACAGCTTGTCAGAATAGGCTAGGCACTGCTTAGGGAAATATGTTGAAGCTCCATGCAGCAAAAGTATTTATTTTTCCAGCAGGGTAAGCAAGACTTTTGGCGGGTGGGGAAACAACTAAGAATTCATTTCAATGAACTTCTTCAGTGAACACCACACTCGACATGGTTGCAGCCTTTTCCCTGGATTTCAGGGCACACAGCTGGAGTTTGCATGGGGACGTGATGCGACTAATCCTTTAATAGCCCACCAAAGGTGAGTTGACCAGCCTGCAGCATTGTGTTACATGGTTGACAGGATTTGTCACACTCCGGGTCCTCTTGACATGGAACTTGTCACTGGTTCTTTAAGTTTCTCTCCCTTCTTGCCTAGAGGGGGGGGTCAAATCATCCTTCTGATATTTTCCCAAATATTTCCATGCTGGGAGCCCAATGATATGTGAGGAGATCTTGCTAAAAATAGTTAAAAGACATGTCAGGGTATTATTATGGCCAATTTGACTTGGGGTAGTCCAAGGAAACTAGATCTCATATGAAATAAGTTAAAATAGACATTTTACTGTACATAAGAGAATGAGACGGTTGGATGGTATCACTGACTCAGTGGGCATAAGTCTGAACAAACTCTGGGAGATGGTGAAGGACAGGGAACCCTAGTAAACTGCGGTTCATAGGGTCACAAAGAGTTGGTCGTGACTTAGCAAATGAATAACAACAGCAACTGTATATCATGGCAGTTTTGAGATATGTGACTATAGAAATGATCACTCTTGGCGTGTGTCTTGAAAAGTAGCCAGTCGAAGGTCTCTGAGAATCAGTTCATAGAGGGAAGATTTTGAAAATCATAAATCTAACTGTACTAAAGATACTACGTCACTTTGTTCAGTTGAAAGAAATTAAGATTCATTCCAGTAGTGGTAGTAGACGTAAGTACATTTTAACTTGTTTTTCAAGATGTGCTACATCTTTAAGAGTTGCATTAGGTACACCATGAAAGGCATAGCCATCAATAGCTTAGATGTTCACATGAAGAGAGACTATAATTTCACTATACTGTCTGTTTATCTGACCACATCTAAATTATTTGTTTTCTAGTTACACATATGATGTTTTAAAAGGATCAAAGATCAAATGCACTGAGGAGGATGTGTCTGGAACTGAGACTTGTCTGTATATTAAGACACAGAAGGGGCCAGATGAAATAGTAGAGAACATTAAACCTAGAGAAAAAAATAATGGTGAAGATGATGATCAACTATAAAGATTACAAGCATAGCTAAAGAACTGTCATGCAGTCAGTCCAGTTCAGTTCAGTCACTCAGTCGTGTCTGACTCTACAACCCCATGAATCGCAGCATGCCGGGCCTCCCTGTCCATCACCAACTCCCAGAGTTTCCTCAGACTCATGTCCATTGAGTCAGTGATGCCATCCAGCCATCTCAGCCTCTGTCGTCCCCTTCTCCGCCTGCCCCCAACCCCTCCCAGCATCAGGGTCTTTTCCAGTGAGTCAACTCTTTGCATGAGGTGGCCAAAGTATTGGAGTTTCAGCTTCAGCATCAGTCCTCCCAATGAACACCCAGGACTGATCTCCTTTAGGACAGACTGGCTGGATCTCCTTGCAGTCCAAGGGACTCTCAAGAGTCTTTTCCAACACCACAGTTCAAAAGCATCAATTTTTCGGTGCTCAGCTTTCTTCACAGTCCAACTCTCACATCCATACATGACCACTGGAAAAACCATGACCTTGACTAGATGGACCATTGTTGGCAAAGTAATGTCTCTGCTTTTTAATATGCTGTCTAGGTTGGTCATAACTTTCCTTCCAAGGAGTAAGTGTCTTTTAATGTCATGGCTGCAGTCACCATCTGCAGTGATTTGGGAGCCCAAAAATATAAAGTCTGACACTCTTTCCACTGTTCCCCATCTATTTCCCATGAAATGATGGGACCAGATGCCATGATCTTAGTTTTCTGAATGTTNTTTCCAAATTTGCTGGCATATTGAATGCAGCACTTTCACAGCATCATCTTTCAGGATTTGAAATAGTTCGACTGGAATTCCATCACCTCCACTAGCTTTGTTTGTAGTGATGCTTCCAAAGGCCCACTTGACTTCACATTCCAGGATGTCTGGCTCTAGGTGAGTGATCACACCATCGTGATTATCTGGGTCATGACAATCTTTTTTGTACAGTTCTTTTGTGTATTCTTGCCACCTCTTCTTAATATCTTCAGTTTTTGTTAGACCTACCATTTCTGTCCTTTATCGAACCCATCTTTGCATGAAATGTTCCCTTGGTATCTCTAATTTTCTTGAAGAGATCGCTAGTCTTTCCCATTCTGTTGTTTCCTTCTATTTCTTTGCATTGATCGCTGAGGAAGGCTTTCTTACCTCTCCTTGCTATTCTTTGGAACTCTGCATTGAAATGGGAATATCTTTCCTTTTCTCCTTTGCTTTTTGCTTCTTTTCTTTTTTAGATGAAGTAAAACTTCTGTTTTTCTCGAATTATGGTGAAAGGGTGGAAGTTACAGGAAAATAGACTTCATCTCAAGTGCAAAGATCATGTGTGAAGATATCTAATCAACAGCAAGAAGGAATACCTGGAAAGATATCAGCAATTGTTTAAACAGAGGCTGAGAATAAGTAATCATAAATGTTGAAAGAAATTTGGGCATTAGGTGGAAATTTGGACCAAATGACCTTATGATTATTCCATATCTATAAAATTAACCAAGCAGATAATTAGATGAATTACAAGGCCATAATAATAAACATGGAATGATATCAGGCAGAAATTGACCACAGTCAAATGAAATTGAAGAGAAAGCTCAGAGAGAGAAACAAACATACAGAACCTTAATTTATAATAAAGGAACATCACAGAGCAATTAATTAAAGATAAATTGCTTTAGTATACACTATTAAGTAATCTAACTCACTATATGGATAAAAGCATGATTGGATCACTACCTATCCGCACATTAGAAATGTGCTTCCAGGGAATTCGCTGGCAGCCCAGTGGTTATGAATAGGTGCTTTTGATGCGAGGGCCCAAGTTCAATCCCTGTTTGGGGAATTAAGTTTTCACAGCTGGCACAGCTCCACCCTCCACCCCAAATGATTCCCAAGTATTTAAACAATAAATGTTAGCAGTAGCACTATAAAAATAATAGGAAGACGTGTTTAAAGGTCTTCATACCAAGAGAGGACTTTGTACATTTCAACAGCACAAAGCCTGGGGGGAAACTGCTCAACTGTATTAGATAAAATTAAGAATTTGTACCTAAAATGGATTAGATCTGATAGACAGAGTGTATGAAGAACTATGGGTGTAGGTTCCTGACATTGTACAGGAGGCAGGGATCAAGACCACCCCCAAGAAAAAGAAATGCAAAATGACAAAATGGCTGTCTGAGGAGGCCTTACAAATGGCTGAGAAAAGAAGGGAAGCTAAAGGCAAAGGAGAAAAGGAAAAATATTCCCATCTGAATGCAGAGTTCCAAGGAAGAGCAAGGAGAGATAAAAAACCGTCCTCAGTGACCAATGCTAGGAAATAGAGAAAAACAATAGAATGAGAAAGACTAGAGATTTCTTCAAGAAAATTAGAGATAAAAAAGGAAAGATTTCATGCAAAGATGGACTCAATAAAGGATAGAAATTAAATGGACCTAACAGAAGCAGAAGATATTAAGAAGAGGTGGAAAGAATACACAGAAGAACTGTACAAAAAAGATCTTCTCGACCCAGATAATCACAATGGTGTGATCATTCACCTAGAGGCAGACATCTTGGAATGCAAAGTCAAATAGGCTTTAGGAAGTGTCACTATGAGCAAATCAAGTGGAGGTGATGGAATTCTAGTTGAACTATTTCAAATGCTAAAAGATGATGGTGTGAAAGTGCTGCACTCAATATGCCAGTAAATCTGGAAAACTCAGCAGTGACCACAGGACTGGAAAATGTCAGTTTTCATTCTAATCCCAAAGAAGGACAATGCCAAAGAATGTTCAAACTACTGCACAATTGCACTCATCTCACATGCTAGCAAAGTAATGCTCAAAATTCTCCTGGCCAGGCTTCAACAGTATGTGAACCATGAACTTCCAGATGCTCAAGCTGGATTTAAAAAAAAGCAGAGGAACCAGAGATCAAATTGACAACATTTGTTGGATCATGGAAAAAGCAAGAGAGTTCTAGAAAAACATCTACTTCTGCTTTATTGATTACACCAAAGCCTTTGATTGTGTTTTGATTCCAACAAAGGGTGGAAAATACTTCAAGAGGTGGAAATACCAGATCACCTTACCTGCCTTCTGAGAAATCTATATGCAGGTCAAGAAGCAACAGTTAGAACCAGACATGGAACAACAAACTGGTTTCATAATGGGAAAGGAGTACGTCAAGGCTGTATATTGTCACCCTCTTATTTAACGTATATGCAGAGTGCATCATAAAAAATGCTGGGATGGATGAAGCACAAACTGAAATTAAACTGCCAGGAGAAATATCAATATTCTCGGATATACAGATGACACCACCATTATGGCAGGAAGAGAAGAAGAACTAAAGAGCCCCTTGATGAAAATGAAAGAGGAGAGTGAAAAAGCTGGCTCAAAACTCAACATTCAAACAACTAAGATCATGACATCTGGTTCCATCATTTCATGTTAAATAGAGGGGGAAACAATGGAAACAGTAACAGACTTTGTTTTCTGGGCTCCAAAATCGCTGCAGATGATGACAGCAGCCATGGAATTAAGAGATGCTTGCTCCTTGGAAGAAAAGCTATGACCAACCTAGGCATATCAAAACCAGAGACATTACTTTGCCAGCAAAGGTCTGTCTTGTCAAAACTATGGGTTTTCCAGGAGTCGTGTATGGATGTCAGATTTGAACCCTAAAGAAACCTGAGCACCAAAGAACTGATGCTTTTGAACTGTGGTGTTGGAGAAGATTCTCAAGAGTCCCTTGGGCAAAAAGGAGATCCAATCAGTCCATCCTAAAGGAGATCAGTCCTGGGTGTTCATTGGAAGGACTGATGTTGAAGCTGAAGCTCCAACACTTTGGCCACCTGATATGAAGAACTGGCTCATTTGAAAAGACCCTGATGCTGGGAAAGGTTGAAGGTGGAAGGAGAAGTAGAGTACAGAGGATGAGATGGTTGGATGGCATCACCGACTCAATGGACATGAATTTGAGTAAACTCCGGGAGTTGGTGTTGGACAGAGAGGCTTGGCATGCTGCAGCCCATGAGGTCACAGAGTCAGACATGACTGAGCAACTGAACTTAACTGATTCAAAATGGACTCTGAACAAAATTGTTATTGTTGTTTAGTCGCTAAGTGTTGTCCGACTTTTTCCCACCGCGTGGGTTGCAACATGTTAGTGTTCCCTGTCCCTCTCTATCTCTTAGAATTTGCTCAAACTCATGTCCATTGAGTCAGTGCTGCAATCTTACCATCTCATCCTCATTTGCTCCCTTCTCCTCCTGCCCCCAATCCTTCCCAGCATTGAGGTGTTTTCCCATGAGTCGACTCTTCATATCAGGTGGCCAAAGTATTGGAGCTTCAGCTTCAGCATCAATCCTTTCAATGAATATTCAGGGATTATTTCCCCTAGGATTGACTGGTTTGATCTTAATGATCAGGGGACTCTCAAGGGTATTCTCTAGCACCACAGTTTAAAAGCATCAATTCTTTGGTGCTCAGCCTTGTTTATGGTCCAAATCTCATATCTGTATGTGACTACTGGAAAAACCATAGTGTTGGCTATACAGAGTCGGCAAAGCAATATCTCTGCTTTTTAATATGCTGTCTAGGTTTGTAATAGCTTTTCTTCCAAGGAGCAAGCATCTTTTAATTTCAAGGCTGCAGTCACCATCCACAGTGATTTTGGGGCCCGAGAAAATAAAATCTGTCATTTTTTCACAATCTATTTTCCATGAAGTGATGGGACAGATGCCATGATCTTAGTTTTCTGAATGTTGAACTTTAAGCCAACTTTTTCATTCTCCTCTTTCACTTTCATCAAGAGGCTCCTTAGTTCTTCACTTTCTGTCATTAGAGTGGCATCATCTGCATATCTGAGGTTATTGATATTTCTCCTGGCAATCTTGATTCCAGCTTGTGCTTCTTCCAGCCCAGCATTTCTCATGGTGTTCTCTGCATAGAAGTTAAATAAGCAGGGTGACAATACAGCCTTGACATACTTCTTTCCTAATTTTGAACTACTCTTTTGTTTCATGTCTGGCTTTAACTATTGCTTTTTTGACCTACATACAGGGTTCTCCGGAGACAGGTAAGGTGGTCTGGTATTCCCACCTTTTAAAAATTTTCCACAGTTCGTTGTGATCTACACAGCCAGAGGCTTCAGTGTAGTCAATGAAGAAGTAGGTATTTTTCTGGAATTCCCTATCCTTCTCTATAATCGAATGGATATTGACAATTTGATCTCTGGTTCCTCTGCCTTTTCTAAATTCAGCTTGTACATCTGGAAGTTCTTGATTCACAAACTACTTAAGCCTAGTTTGAAGAATTCTGAGCATTACCTTGCTAGTATGTGAAATAAGTGCAAATGGACAGTAGTCGGAACATTCTTTGGCATTGCCATTCTTTGCGATTGTAATGAAAATTGACCTTTTTCAGTCCTGTGGCCTCTGCTGAGTTTTCTAAATTTGCTGGCATATTGAGTGAAGCACTTTAACAGCATCGTCTTTTAGGATTTGAAATAAGTCAGCTGGGATTGCATCACCTCCACTTGTTTGTAGTAATATTTCCTTAGGCCCACTTGACTTCACACTCCAGGATGTCATACTCCATGTACAAATTTAGTACAAATAAAACAGAATGGGAAAAGGTATTTGAAGTCCACAAATGGCAGAACAACAAAAGCTAGAATTCCACAAAATCAATAGGTCAGCACCAATAGAAAAGTTAACAAGAGAGGTTGAAGTTGACAAAGTCAGTAAGAATTTTACAGAGTAGAAAATCAAAAAAGCTAAGAAACATAAGGCAGTATTCAAATGATTGATGAGCCAAGAATTATAAATGTAAAAATTTATAATGTAATGGCCAAAAATTTAGACAGCGGGATAACACAAAATGTTGACATAGAATCTGCTGCTACTGAGAATAGATTATAAAACTCATGCTGGAGAGATTCTGCTATTTCCCAAGAAAATAAAATTATGTACGCCTTTGAGGTATGGTTCTAAGAAATTCTCATGCATGTCTTCAGACAGATACATCAAGGTTCACAGTAGGGATATTTATAGTAATAGGGAGCTTGTGGCAACCAGAGACTGCACTGCTGGAAGGGTAGAAAAGAAAAGAAAGTCAATGAACACCATGAAATATTGTGTATGAAATGCTGAGTCCTGAAGTCCTGGGTTTGAGGGACACAAAGAAATATGAATGTTCTCAGAACATAATATTCAGTGATAAAAGTGACGGTAGAGATTGTCATAGATAGTAGAATACCATTTTAGTGCGTTAAAAATACATGCATGCATTTACCAAGACACACACACCAAATACACTTAATATATTAGTAGAATGACTGCTGGATAAATAGGAATAGAAGGACAGTAGGGGGTATAAATGTGTATAAATAGATAAGGAAAACAAAAGAGAGTCTTTGTATGGATCATTGGTGATAATGTACCATGAACTGAGCATAATCAGCACTCTGCATCTGAGAATCAGAAAAGAAAATAAAACAAAATCATACTTTGTTTTCAGGGAACTTTGAAACTGGTAACAACTCACACCCTTTATTCAGATCTCCTCGGGAGATAAAGGACTTCATTTCCCCGTTCTCCCAAAGTAGGTCTCAAGTCTTTACTTTATGATACATGTTGTGTGAAGGAGTTTCTTCCAACTTACGGTGTACATGTATACATTAAAGAACAGCAAAGGAGAATTATCTCTGGATTCTTCACTTTGAAACTGTTTTCAACTATGCACTAAAATATTTCAATCATTTTTAAAGGTTTCACTTTTTAATGGAAGAAAAGTTTAATTTGAAGATAATATGAAACTGTTATAATAGCTTATTAAACATAAAGGATAAAAGAACTAGTGAAGCTTTAAAATGGTAATTAAAAGAGCTGATGTGTGTCTAATGCATTTATTCAGTGTCTTCTAGCAGTAAGTCATGATGATGTTAAAAATTTTGCCTATGTGTTCAAGTTACTACTATGGCTAAAATTTCTGTCTCCACCAACTGGCAAAGCCCTGTGCTATCACTGCACTGAGCCACAAAAAGTGGCAAATGCACTCAGAACACAGACACGCTGCCTGCAGGAGCCCAATCTGCCTCTTTACGGGGAGAGCCTGGAGCCTGTAGGCCACCCCAGAATTGTGGGGGAGGCTGGAAGCTGGGGAGTGAGACATGACTTTGGCATCAAACTGAAATTAAAAGTGATGTAAATTAGTTAATAGGCCCCTGTGTGTAGAGGCTGTATTCTGTTTCAGGGTGCTTTCAAGTCTACAGAGGAATTTACAGGTGTTTGCTAATCACTGACTCCCAAGTAACTACCTGTTAGATGGTGGAATAGTATCATCTTGATTTTACAGAGGAAGAAACTGGATCTACAAAGCCATTTTCATCCACATGCTAAAAGTCACATACGTTCTTATGCTAAAAGGTGATTTGAACACAAGTTTGCTAGTTCCAAATGAGAATCATTTTCTCTAACATGATTTAAAATTTCCCTCAGACTGTAAACAGCTTCCTCAAATTATTTCCCAGTTTGAATCAGAAGTTGCATTTCCTTAATGCCTGCCATTAGAGAAAGATATACTATACCAGAAAGAGGGGCAAAGTCTGGATGGAATCATAGAACATTTTGGTAAATGCATGATCTGACATAATAGTTTCAAGCTGGATTTATATTGATTTGGTTGTGTTTTATGTTTGTTCAGTGATACATGTAGAAGGATAAAACTTTCTTTTAAATAAAATATAAAATAATAGAATGATGTTAACAGACTGATTAAACCATATACTCATCGCCTTGCCTACAACTTTAAGTACATGATTCTATTAGACAACAGTGTAGAAACAGAAAAACAAACCCTACATAAGCCTAAATAATAAATATAAAATCCATGTAAACATACAAACATTATGCTAGGATAATATTTTACATATCATAGAGATATTGACCGGAAAAAATATCATTATATTATGAATCCACAGTGTGCAGATTTGTTTGTAGAGAGGGAATTCTAGGTCACTGAAAAGAGAAAGAAGAGATCCGTTAATTTCTTGAGTCGGAGTAGAGTGTCAGAATTCCCTGCTCAGAAAATCCTCTCTCCAACAATTTCCATAATTTATGATTAATTTGGTCTTTTAGCAACTGCAAGTAGCCCAGGGAATGTGTGCAGACCAGGCTGGAGGTAGGTGGAAGGGGAATTAGTTTATAAACTATTCACAATTTGGTGTCAATCATATTAATTAAATTGGGGTTTTACAAATTGTAGATGTTGACTCAGTAATGAGTCCCCATGAGCAACTTTTTTTTTTTAAATAAAAGGACCATGGCCCTTTGATACAAATAAAATAACATGCTATCAGCAGAGGTATGTACACAAACATATATTAGCTTTTTGAATTTCTTAACGAAGTTCCAAATGAATGTTTCATATGACACTGTTCACCTTAGAATTCCAATTATCTGTAGAAACTTTTAGCTTCATTTGATGATTTATATCCTTCAAATCTCCAAATATAGCAGTTTCTAACCACTGCCAAAATTAAAACATCATTTCTACTCTGGAATATTTTAAATATAGAAATAGTTGTGCTTGTATAATGTAATGTGACATGATAGAAGAAGACAGAGTTCAGAATTACACAAAAATGAAAATCCTGGCCACACTTTTTACATTTCAATTTCTTCACCTTTGAGTTTTCACCTTAAAGAGTCAGCAAGGAAAGAAATTGGATTTCCATGACATTTCCTGCATCTCCCAGGGTTTTGAGTTGGGCAGAAGTCTGCATAGCCAGGGCTGGAACCTCTTTTCTGTCACCTAGTAGTTTAGGTCATCTAACAGTTTATTCAAAAAACTAAGATCAAGGCATCTGGTCCCATCACTTCATGGCAAATAGATGGGGAAACAATGAAAACAGTGACAGACTTTATTTTCTTGGGCTCCAAAATCACTGCAGATGGTGACTGCAGCCACAAAACTAAAAGATGCTTACTCCTTGGAATAAAAACTTTGACAAACATAGTGTATTATAAAGCAGTGACATTACTTTGCCAACAAAGTCCCCCCTGGTCAAAGCTATGGAGAAAGAAATGGCAGCCCACTCCAATGTTCTTGCCTGGAAAATCCCATGGATGGAGGAGCCCAGTGGGCTATACAGTTCATGGGGTCACAAAGAGTTGGACACAACTGAGCGACTAACACTTTCACTTTCATGTATGGATGTGAGAGAAAGCTGAGCGCCAAAGAATTGATGCTGTTGAACTTTGGTGTTGGAAAAAACTCTTGAGGGTCTTCTGGACTGCAAGGAGATCCAACCAGTCCATCCTAAAGGAAATTAGTCTTGAATATTCACTGGAAGGACTGATGCTGAAGCTGAAGTTCCAATACTTTGACCACCTGATGCGAAGAACTGACTCATTTGCAAAGACCCTAATGCTGGGAAAGATTGAAGGCAGAAGGAGAAGGGGACAACAGAGGATGAGATGCCTGGATGGCATCACCGACTCGATGGACATGAGTAAACTCTGGAGTTGGTGATGGACCGGAAGCATAGTGTGCTTCAGTCCATGGGGTTGCAGAGTCAGACACAACTAAGTGACTGAACTGAACTGAAGATTCAATATCCTCTCAGTGTTAATGCCCTCAAAATCACCAATCCATATTCCACATCAGAAATTTGTTGACAATTTTCTATTCATTTTTTATTTTCTATTGGCTATTAAACATAAAATATGTATCATCTGAAGTCTCAATATCTAGAGCCTAATTAAATTTACAAAGTTTTTAAATAAACAAGTGGAATGAGCTTGAAGAACTGAGGTCAGTAGAAAATTCAGTTCAGTACAGTTGCTCAGTCGTGTCCGACTCTTTGTGACCCCATTGACCGTAGCACACCAGGCCTCCCTGTCCATCATCAACTCCCAGAATTTACTCAAACTCACGTCCATTGAGTCAGTGATGCCATCCAGCCATCTCATCCTCTGTCGTCCCCTTCTTCTCCTGTCTCCAATCTTTCCCAGCACCAGGGTCTTTTCCAATGAGTCAGCTCTTTGCATCAAGTGGCCCAAGTATTGGAGTCTCAGCTTCAGCATCAGTCCTTCCAATGAACACCCAGGATTGATCTCCTTTAGGATGGACTGGTTGGATCTCCTGCAGTCCAAGGGACTCTCAAGAGTCTTCTCCAACACCACAGTTCAAAAGCATCAATTTTCTGGCGCTCAGCTTTATTTATAGTCCAACTCTCACATTCACATATGACTACTGGAAAAACCATAGCCTTGACCAGATGGATTAGAAATAGAAAATTAGACATCCAAAAATTAAAATCTCGGAACATTTTTCAAGATGATATTTATTTCATACTTTGAGTTTCACTGGAAAACCAAAGTAAGACTCTCACAATCACATCAAAGTTTTGTTTTTATTGTGATTCTCCCTACTCCATCATCTCATATTTTCATCACATAATAATTTTAATGGCCCTAATTATGGGGCTGAGATGATTTGACTCATGTTTAATCTCCTAGTGTAATTATTTATGGTACCCTGTTTACTTTTAAATTTGATCTGTGTTGGATGATAAAATTATATTAATGCCCTAACCATAACTCATAATACAAGGCAATGGCTATATTTCACTTATAGATATACTGTGTGAGGGAAAAATGGGGAAGAGTTTATAATTGCTCAGAATGGTCAAAAGCTAAATGACAGTGAAATTTAATCTTCAATGATATGCAATAAAATTAGTTCCTCAGCCATATTCAAAGGTACACCCAATTATTTATTTTGATAAAATGCTTACTCAATTTTGGGGCAGGTCTACAACCAGAAAGGAAAGTAGCGAATTCTGGGCCAAATTTAGTTGGCCAAAATAAACTTGATAATTACCTCCTATCTCAACTGTAAATCTACAGAAGTGTGATTAGTGCAACTGCATACATGTCCTTCTTTTATAGGGACATTGGCTTCACTTTCTTGCTGAATCACCTTTAATTCAAGGTTATCTTTATAATTTGATCTCTCCATTATGGCAAAATTAGTCTTACCAAGAACATCAGCCCCTTCCCTTGATACCAAAAGGATACTTCTGATATATATCAATGATTGGAACGTTGCTACTAAGAATTATAAATTGCTATGACTGAGAAATTAAAGTCTTAAAATCTAATTACCTCAATTTGTTGTAAGTACATTAAATTATCATGAAAAGACTTGCATTGAAATCTCTAAGTACCAAGTCTTCTCTTTATAGCTAAAGAATAAGTTGCTGCTTTTCCTATCATGCCTTAGGGATATATTTTAGTGTATAGAAATCTATCAAAAGAGATTAGAAATAAAAGTTTACTTTCTATTTTCCAATCTTTAACCTTTAACAAGTATTTGGTCACAATTTTGCCAGCTTGAATGATGGTAGTTCAGGCTAATATTTCAATAATTTCATTTGTTGAATGTTAATAACCATCTTCATTTTTCCTGATTTGAATTTAGAAGTCTTTTTTAGTCCTTAGCCTACTGAGAGTGAGGCATTTACTTCATATTCAGATACATAAAATTCTGTTTATATTACAAATAAGAACAAAATCTTGACATAATAAAGTAACTTGATGTATGTATAATTCTCCTTAATTCATACCCTAATGCTCTACTTTCATATA